TTAAACTTAGTAAATTAGTTAAAACTTGCAATTGTTTACGAAAATGCAATCACATGGGTGCATTAAGGCGTTAGTACGTTCTTAACAAAAGGTAAACAACTTAACTAGTATTGCAAAACGCCAAAATCAGTGCTTGAAAATTCAAAAGGCCTTCAAAACAACAAACTAACAGTAAACGTTACTTTTCCAACGGAAATGTTATAAATTATCAATATTTATTTTTCTTCTGTTCAATTTTAATACTTTTTCGAAGTGCCAAATAAACAAATTAAAACCATTGAAAACATCACTTATCAATGGAAATAACAAATTTTCATTTTCTCCCTTTTTTTTTTGGGCCAATCTATTTACCGTAATTTATGTATTTTTGGCCAATTATGCCTGTTTTTTGGGCCAGTGACTAGCAGACGGGATTTCCGCATTTTTGAGACAGTGCCAAATTTCTTGGCAGTCGCATTAAGGACAAATGTTGCCAAGTAAATTGGCATAAAACAAATCGGCGTCGTCATCGTTATTATCGTTCCTCTTCTTCCACCGCCTAATTAGATTGTTCGGGCAGTTCAAAAACAACTGGCGAATGCCAGTCGAAAATTGTTAAATAATTTTAAAAGAAATTAGCGGCCATTTTGGGTGTGTGCATGTGCGTATGTTTGTGTGTGTTTGTGTACAGACAAAAGACCATGAAAATAAAAATTGTAACCAATTTCATGCATAACAGTTAAATAAAATTTAATTTAGCAGAAAAACGAAGCAAATGCGAGTTAAAACGGGAAAAAAAAAACAAAAAAAAAAAACTGTAACTGCACAAATTGCCAAAAGAAATAAAAATCACAAGCAGAGGGAAAGAGAGGAGCATACAGTTGAGGTCATATAAATAGTACAACTTATCATTAAAAAAGGGTTTCGTTTTTGAAATTTATTAATATTCTATATTTATATATAAATATACAAATAAAACTTTATAAGTGTTTTAAATTATTTATATTGGTTTATCATGTATTTATCTGACCCCAACTGTCAGTAGCTGAGATGGCAGAAAAGGGAGAGTTTCAGAAAATAGACAACGCAAAGTGCGTTGGCCATAATGAAGACTTCATATTTGTGTAGCAGCAACAGCAGCAGCAGCAACAAATGAATGCCGTCAACATTTATTATTAATTTTAATATTTCAAAGAGCCCAGACCACTTCAGCCAAAGAAATCAAGAAAAACACTTAAAAAGAGAGCACCACTTTTCTCTTTTTGTCCACCAATAGCTGCTGGGCTTGAAGTAATGTTCTTTTGGCACACAGCCGACCAACTAATTTGATGGCTTTTGTTGTCCGGCAATGGGAAATGAATGCATTTAAACAGAAAATTCAATTTTTGCCTAAATAATTTAGAAACTTACTCACAGCTCTTTACACCTCTTGCCCGCCGCCAGCGACAACAATTAACTTTTAAACCATAGCCAAAGGCTACACAAATTTAATCAATTTATTTCATACCCAAAGCAAAAAAAATAAACTAAATGGAACTAAATGCGCCTGAAAATGGGAATTTCATCAGCTGAAAACATTTGCCTTTTGGCTTAGCCTGAAGTTTTAAGCCAACATTTGATTGTTTAACGAAATTAAAATCGGTTAATTTATTGATAACAAAACAAATTTAAGAGCTTGAACATGAAGTTGAAAAGCTTTTTATATGTATCTTTAATGTACAGAGGTTTCAGATATGTTTAATGGACATTTTTTGATCAAATCTAATATTTCCAATGAAATACTTCAAAAGACACACAAACAAAGAAGTCAAAGACTGAATTTCCCCTTTGACTAAGCTTTGCAGTAAACTATCTGTCATCTTGTAAATTGCGCGTGTTAAAAATGCCAGAAAAAAAAACACCAAAGCAAAAAATCAAAAGACAAAACGAACTTAATTTCTACGACGAACAAAAAAAAAATGGCTGCAAAAAAAGGAGCTTTAACAAGGAGAAAGGAGCAGAGTGAAAAAGGGAGCAAAAAGGCATCAACAATGAAAACCACAAAGCGGCGCTTTTGTTTGCCAGTGTCGCATGCAGTCAATCTATATATATGTATGTATATGTGTGTGTGTGTCGCCTGCCAATCAACTCAACAATCGCAATCAATTTACCCCGCTGCATAGCCCCATCACACCAACCCTGTCTCTGATTTTTCCCATCCCGCATCACCAATTTCCCACCGCCCCATTTTCCATTTTGGGGTGCATTGTCATGGTGCAAGTGCAACTGTCATTTCAAGCGCAATCTCTGCATATGCTGAAGGGGAGAAGGTCGGTGGAAAATGTGTGATATATCAGAAAAACCAAAAGAAAAAATAACACAGAAAATAATGCCCATGGCGCCGCAGTGCACTTTTTAATTACTGTACTGCGACATTAAGGACCGCAGACATTACATGCATGAATCATAGCCCCAAGATGTTTAAAAAACAACGAAAAGAAAATGTTGTTTCACTCCAAAAAGGTGCCCTTTTAATAAGAAAATGCAATATGTTGGTGTTCCTTCGTTCAGTCGGAAAAAATATATATTATATATATATATAAAAAAATATTTAAAAAAAATGTAAATATCCCACTTAAAATTTCAAAAAAAAACCTGTTCTAAATACCAAACAAAGCAGATTAAACCTGCCGCCTCAAAGTAGGCTTTAAAATCGTGAAAATGTATGCGCATTATATGTGAATCAAAATCATAATCATAATACGCATACGCAGCGTTGTACCCCCTTACATACACACACACTCGTAAATTTACCAGGCATTGTTATGCTAAATTTATTTGCCCTCGAAGCCATCTGTTGTTGTTCTTGTTGTTGTTAACTTCATCAGAAGTGCGATTGAAACGCAGCTTCCGTTTCCGCAAAATGGCTGTCAATGTGTGAGAGAAAGGCGGAAAAGGAAGGTGGGTTGGGGGGAAAATTCCACTTTGCTTGCAAACAAATCAACTTGAACTTCCGTTTCATTTCGCTTTTTCTTGCCATTTCATATTCTTTTGCAAGTTCACCCTCCCAGCTCACCGCTTTTCCGCGCTGGGGAAAACCCACTCAACTCTCAATTTTTATTTTCCCTTTACTGTGCATTTCGGCGACTTTAGCGTAAATTTACTTTTCACTTTCAGCGCGCCATCAAAAAAGTTTTTGTGCATAGCTAACTTTTTGGCTCACATTACGTATATATTTTCCATATTTTTCCCTGCTTCACTTGCTTTGCCGGTCGCTGTTTTCAATGTCATTGCACACACACGTGCACTCGAAAAATATCTTTATGGAGGCATCTAAATGATATATTTAATAAAATAATAAATATTATTTGCCTTAAATACTTTATGTCACTTAATATTTTTTTGATTAGCCAATATTTCTCAATATAGGCACAAAGTTTACTTTTATTTTTCTCTCTGTGTACTGAGGCAAGCTGTCGTGTGTGCTCCGCGAGGGGAAACTCTGTCTTTTTGGCATTTCATTTCCTTCATTTCAGCCGTTTTGCACCTCGAAGCGGTTTCCTTTCCTTTATTTATTTTGTTTTTATTTTTTTGAAAGAAGGTAGCTTGGACGTGGGCTGTACAGTGATACAGTGGAGCTCCTTGTGTTTTTCTATCTTGACTCACTCTTTTTAGACTGATTTTTCCGCGAGCCAAGTTGTTGCTGCTTAATTTAATGCTCGAGTGCCTATTTAAATTTTCTCGCCCTCTCTCCTCATCGTCTGCATTTCCAATTTTGTTTTGTCATTTACGTTTGGTTTATATTTTCCACTCGTCGTTTTCCCAGCGAAATCAATCAGCGACCGGCACGTGTGTGCATTGATAACGTGGCCAATAATAGGAAAGCCAAATGTATTTTTGGCAGCCCATGAAAATACATCTCCAACTTTTCGATGCGAGTTAGCAATTGTTTGTGCGTTGGCTGGAAAAGATGAAAACAATTTTGTGCAGCATTTTGTGTTTGGCAGTAATTTGCTTTCGCCATCGGAAATAGATTTGGAACAATGGAAATGGATACCATGACCAGAAATGTTCAAGTGTTTGGCAATTACAACTGTTTGTTGAAGATAATTAAATACATTGACTGAAGTTAACCTTTGAGGATAAGATTTCCAAGAAGGTTGTATAAAAGGTAAGAATATACTTAGGGGTTTGGCAATCTATTTAAACAGATTATTGTTGGATTTCTTTTATGAAAAATAGTAATAGAAAAAGTATTGTTTTGAATCAAAATATACTTTTTACTTCTTTCCTTAAAAGTATCAAAATGTATGTCTAGTTACTTTTAACTTTTTGTTAAGTTAAGTCGACTGGCGAATGAGTTTTACCAACGAATTATTTTTAAAAAATTAATATAATTATATATTGAGAACAAGAACCTATTTTTCGTTTTCTTTTTACTTTAAAAAATGTTAATATTTATAAAGTTTTATTTTACTAGTTTACAATTTTATAACTTTTGTAGTTTAGTGTCAAGAGATCTTTAAGTGCAAATCAATCAGAATTTGAATTAAAGCACTCAAGTTCTTTGAAGAGAGCAGTGAGAGCAGAGAACCCAAACAAACACAAGTTTGACTCAACTCAAAAGCTCTCCGAATTAAGAGATCAGTTCAGTACAAAAATTAAGAGATGATTTTTTTAAGAGAATAAGCTTATCCTCAAACAACCAAACAGTAATACAAAACAATAATATTTATGAAACTAAACAAGCAAAAAATACAAATAATAATATTGAATGAAAATGAATTTAACAATTAAGAACATATTCTAAATTTTTCCTGAAAATATTATTTAAAATTCTATATTTTTATATTTAATATAATAAATATTTTCATATATGAATTATCACTGAAAATGAACAAAGATAGATTTGTATCATTACTTATTATATTATTATATAGGACAACCACTTCAAACGTACATCGGATCCACTCATAACTTTTCTTATCAAATCCTATAACTACCAGCCGAAAAAGTAGCTTCCCTTCAGTCTGTTTAGAACTTCAGAGAAGTGCGGTCGCAATGAACTTGCACCTTAATACTTTGCTTTTACTGTTTATGGCCTTTTTAGGCCAGACATGGGGCTACTCTTATCTGATGGTGAGCCATACGGCATCGAAATCCCATCATGCCGTCGGACTAGCGTTAGCCAAAGGTCTAGCTGCCGCTGGTCATGAAGTAACTTTGATATCACCATTTCCACAAAAGCAACCTATTAAGAATATAATCGACGTGGAAACACCGAATATTATCACCGTAATGGGAGGTGAGTCTTAACATTTAATTGTGTATTAAAAAATTTCCTGAGTCTGGCACGTATTGCTTATCGTCTTGAGGAAGCTTTGCGTAGTCTGATAAGATACACGTGAAAGTCCAGTTAATTCTCAATGGGTCAACAAATTATTTGGTTGCTACTTCATTTAAAAATCAATTAAAATAATATTAATTATTTTTTGCCTTAATTCCTATAGTTCACAAGGCGCGAATCCTGGAGAATGCCAAGAAAAATGTAGTACAGCGTTATCCAAGGCTGAGCTTGATGGGTTTGGATTTGACAGAGGCTCTTTTCAAGGCTCCGGCCGTGCAGGAGCTATTGACTCAAAAGCGAACCTTCGATGGAGTCATTGTTGAGACCTTTATGAACGATGCTCACTACGGATTTGCTGAACACTTTGGAGCTCCATTAATCTCACTGAGCAGTTTGGGAGCCACTGGATGGACCTCTGATCTGGTGGGCACACCATCACCACCTTCATATGTGCCGCATGCTTTACTGCAATTTAGTGATTACATGAACTTCTGGCAGCGAGCACAGAATCTAGGATTTCAGACTTATGAATTTATCTATCAGAATTTGATAAATCTTCCCAGACATGAGGCCCTATATAAGAAGTATTTCCCCAATAACAAACAGGACTTTTATGAGATGCGCAAGAGTACATCGTTGGTGTTACTTAACAATCATGTTTCTCTCAGCAATCCACGTCCTTATTCACCAAACATGATTGAAGTTGGTGGAATGCACGTGAATCGAAAGGCTCCAAAGCCTCTGCCCAAGGATATCCGGAAATTCATCGAGGGAGCCGAACATGGTGTTATTTATTTCTCATTGGGTTCCAATCTGAATAGCAAAGATTTACCCAAGAAGAAGCGAAAAGCCATTGTTGAGACTTTAAGGGGCCTCAAGTATCGAGTACTTTGGAAATACGAGGAAGAAAACTTTGTTGATAAGCCAGATAATGTGTTGGTATCCAAGTGGTTCCCGCAGGATGATATCCTGGCTCATGACAAAGTAATTGCCTTTATAACCCATGGCGGGCTCTTGAGCACCATGGAATCAATTTACCATGGCAAACCAGTTGTTGGAATTCCCTTTTTCGGTGATCAATTTATGAATATGGCGAGAGCCGAACAATCGGGCTATGGAATCACTGTAAAATATGCTGAACTATCTGCTCCTTTATTCCGATCTGCCATCGATAGGATTACCACTGATCCTAGCTACCTTGAGAGGGTCAAGATCATATCCAATCAATTTCGGGATCAAAAGGAGACGCCTCTGGAGCGGGCTGTATACTGGGTAGAGCATGTGACTCGTCAGAAGGGTGCCAAGTACCTGAGAAGTGCCTGTCAGGATCTGACCGTTATCGAGTACCACAACCTGGATGTGTTGGCAGCATTCTTTACGGCTCTCGGCCTAGTTTTCATTTTTGTTTTTCTAACAATTCGATTTCTAGTTTCTAAGGTGAAAGGTAGCTCTTTGAAATCTAAAAGTTCTAAGAAAAAAGTTAACTAGTTAAGTATTGAGTAGTTCTTAGCGATCTTTGTTATTTAGAAAAATATATTCCGTACTAGAATGTTGGTATAACTTATTTAAAGTACAATTAACATAAGGAAGCTGCAGTGTCAACATCACAAAATGTGTTCGAAATATCCAGAATCAATACCTGTAAATATCCCAAAAAGGCAAACTTTATAGAATACAATTCAAAATAAAAAATTATAAGAAAGTTGTAAGCAATAACTAGCATTTAATCAACTAAAAATATCCCTTTTTATATAATATTTTTATATCAGCTAAACAATTTTGTTGAATCACGATCACGATTGAATACTACACCAGCAGTCGTCATAAAGAGAAGAGAAACGAAAAAAAAAACAAAATGTTATATACCATTCCCAAAAAGCCGGTAATCAAAACAAAATAAACGGGAAACGATAATGAATACAGCCAAAACTGATAAAAGAGGCGGTTGAGAGAGAGAGAAAAACTTGACTTATCTAGGCATTCGATCGTGAGTAGTTTACCAAATAATGCGTTGTCATAAAGAGAGAGAGATTGTGAGAACAATACGTCTGGTTATTAGAAATATCACGGTGAGAGCGGAGATTATGGAAAGTCTCCAAAACGTCAATGGAACCTAACCCAACCAACCACTTATAATTACCTCATCGCAGGCCCATGTTAACTCAGTTTCTACCGAGGCGCCTAGGCGTCCGCACCTAACATATCCAGTTCCAGAGACCACAATCGTTTGGACGATAAGAACGCATTTCACAACGATTAAGTCGAATTAATTGTTTAGAATTCGTAGTTCGGAAAACTACAAATTAAAACAAAAATGAAACCAACATCTGGCCAAACCAGTTTTCTGGCCCTGCTGCTGGTATGCCTGCTGAGCTGCGTGTCTGCCTATAACTACCTGATGGTCCTCCATACCGCTGCTCGATCGCATTACCATGTGGGTTCAGCCCTGGCCAAGGGACTAGCCAATGCGGGTCATCAGGTGACAATAATCTCACCATTCGAGCTGAAGAAACCGATAAAAAACATAAAAGATGTTCAGGTCAAGAGCATTCTTGCAGTCATGCAAGGTGAGTTTACCAAACAAAACAGATTTGTCAATCTAAAGCATTCTGACGAAATGTCTATAAATCGGAATTACAAGAATTAGAAATAGGATTAATGGTATATCAATGAAAATTCTTCATAAAGTGCAATATGAAGTCATATTGTTGTGTAACAAAGAAATCTATATGCTTCCATAGTTTGACATTATAAATCTTGTAGTCTTCAGATCAAACTTCTATTTATAGGTATAGCACCTTGTTATTCATTTATTTGGCCTAAACCGGTTTATATTTGTTTACAAATATTTATTTGCTAACAAAACAAAATCAAGTTGTTAATAAACAAAGTTAGCATTTTGTAAAACTAAGACAAAGGCATAACCTGTACACCTAATTGAGATGGGAAAATTTCGCAAGCAAACATTTTATTACCATATAACTTTTGAAAATGCAATCGGTCAGATTACAAATTATCAAAAGCACTTAAGTCTTAAAGCTATAATCTCTTGTTTGTTATCAACAATTTGATAGCAATACGATAAGTTTAGATTTTATAAAATTATGAAATATTTGTATTAAAATTTCAGAAAGAATGGCCAACCTATTGGAATCATCCAAGGAGCCAATAATCAAGCAGATCATTGAATTCCATGAGATGGGCCTTAGTCTAACGGAAAGATTGCTCAGTGAACCCATAGTGACGGAGCTAATGAAATCTAATCAGACCTTTGATGCCGTCATATCCGAGGTTTTCCTCAACGAAGCTCATTTCGGATTTGCAGAACATTTCAAGGCGCCGCTTATAGGTCTGGGTACCTTTGGAGCCATCAGTTGGAATACAGATCTGGTGGGTTATTCTCATAGAGAGTTAGTTTTTTTATTGAAATTAATATTTATTTTAAATTTAAGGTTGGATCTCCTTCTCCTCCCTCATATGTTCCAAGTGCATTGCTAAAGTTTAATGACCATATGTCACTGGCCGAGCGAGTGGGCAATCTGGCTTTCCTCACCTACGAATACCTTTTCCTTAACTACTTCTATCTGCCGCGCCAAGAAGTCCTTTACCGGAAGTTTTTCCCAAATAATAAGCAGGACTTTTATGAGATGCGCAAGAACACTGCATTGGTTCTGCTGAATCAACATGTATCGCTTAGTTTCCCTCGCCCATATTCACCCAACATGATTGAGGTGGGCGGTATGCATATCAATCGAAAGCGCCAACCGCTGCCCAAGGATATCCAGGAGTTCATCGAGGGAGCCGAACATGGAGTTATATACTTCTCAATGGGTTCTAACCTAAAGAGCAAAACACTTCCCTTGGACAAACGTCAGGCATTGATTGACACTTTTGCCCAACTAAAACAAAGAGTTCTGTGGAAGTTCGAGGATACTGATTTACCTGGAAAGCCAGCCAATGTCTTTATTTCGGATTGGTTCCCCCAGGATGACATCCTTGCCCATGACAATGTGATAGCCTTTATTACCCACGGTGGTTTGCTGAGTACCACCGAGTCGATTTATCATCGCAAACCCTTTGTGGGCATTCCAATCTTTGGCGATCAGTTCCTGAACATGGCTCGAGCAGAACAGAATGGTTATGGAGTAACTGTTCACTACGAGGCTTTAACTGCTCCCAAACTTTTGGAGGCCATTCAACGACTTATTCAAGATCCGGAGGCCAGGCAGAAGGTGCGCGACATGTCCGACAGGTATAGGGATCAACCCGAGACACCGTTGGAGCGAGCTGTTTTCTGGGTGGAGCACGTGTCCCGACACAAGGGTGCCAAGTACTTGAGGAGCGCCTCCCAGGATCTGAACTTTATTCAATATCACAATCTGGATGCCATGTTTATCCTATATGGCGGTATAATATTTGTGTTCTATTGTATTTTCCTGCTGGTCCGTTGGGTGTGGCGTCTATTGCAGGAATTCTTCCTCAAGAAAGCTAGTACTAAGTCAAAACAAAAAGTCAAGAAGAACTAAGCTAAAGTTATGGCTAATTCTAGCATCCATGACCAGTTTTAACTTAGGGTACCTTAAAATAAATGCGGTGCTTACTGATTAAATGGTGGAGATTTGTAGCTTTAATAGAGTGCAATATTCTGTTGGTGAATATATTTTTTATATTTATTTTTCTCAAATCCAAACCCTCCCAATTTAAATAAACTAAACTGCACTTTTTCTTTGATTTTCCTATGTTTATTTACTAGTGTCTATGGGTATTTCTATAAACTGTCTTCGAATTTGCAACCATTTGGTGTTGTTGGGAAAGCGAGTGAAAAATTCATTTGATTTTACAGAGGGGATTGTGCGGTTGGTTTCAGCCTGCGGCTCGAAACTTGTAAACTAAAATGGAAAATATTGTGAACTTCTATCGAAAAAATGCTACGTTGCCTTCCTATTCAGCTTGGTCTCCTTTTTGATTCTCTTCTACTTAAACTTTCTTATACTATAGTTGTATACTCTTACAAACTTGAATGATAATGCTTATGGTAATATGTCTGTGTATTTTATATACAAAAATCAAACTTAACCAGCGGTACTACAGAAAAACTTTTCCATATTACCCAGCATTTATGAATTCATTTATTGCCATTACCTATCCTTATCATTTCAAATAAGCGCATTTCTCGTTTCGTTATACCGATGATAATTCTTCTTAGTTGGGTCCTATTTCCATCTACCCTCTTCTTGCCTCCTGTTGCAAGTTGCACATAGTTAACGCTTCAGTTGTAAAAATGCCCATCAGCGCGTTCAAATTTTTAACAGCAACCAACTGAGTGCCACGCCCACGCCCACTGTCCACCCCCTGCCACTCCCACTAACACCCCCAGGCTAAATGCTTTTATTTTCTTTGCCGTGCATCCTTCTCCGCTCTCTCTCTCTCCCTCTCTCTTTCATCCTTTTTGCCAGGCAAAAGGCGTGTAAAAGTTTTAGCCAAACTTATTGAAACTGTTTTGGGCCATGGTCATGCTGGTGGAAAATCAACGTCCGTCGCGGAAATGTTGGCGGCTTTAATGGCCGATCCGGCTTAAAAGTGCAGCCAAGTAGCTATTGTTTTAGTGGCAAGATTTTGGGCTGTAAAGAAAATCTCCTAAAAAGTCTTAAGAATAATAGTTTTTGGCATCAATCAAAGTAAAGGGTGAGTTTAAAATAAAATTAAATTAGTTTTTGTATATTTAAATATTACATTTATATTTGTATATATATCAAAGTAGGCTTTCATTTGTTTTTTTTTTTTTTACAAGCCTGTCGGGGATTTTCTCAAAAGTTTGACATAGAAATTAATTCAAGAGAACAGTAAAAGTTATGTGATGCAGTCCAGGGCAACTAATTAGAACCAATAAATCATAATATTTGTAGTTATAAGTAAACTGAGCTTGTTTTTCAATAAATTAGTTATTTTCTTAACAATTTTGTAAAATAAACTAAAGGTTTTTACTTTTTTAAATTTATTATATAATATATAACCTATCTTAATATTCTACTTTGAATATTAAGCTTTCGATTATCTTTCGATTTTTTCTTATTATATTTTGTTTTACATAAACCCTTTTTAGATTTGAAACAAAGAATCTTTCATGCAGCTGTTTCCCACCTTCCTTTGTTCTCATCTGACAGCGACTATTCAGCTGTGCACCATCGTCTTCTATAGGTATAAAATCTGTATGTATATAGACGACCAGGCGATCTTGTTATTATGCCAGATCAGTTTGCAATCATTTGCTGGGTAAAGCCCCAAAAGCGATTTCAGTCGCAAAGTTTAGTATAAAAACGCCAACGGAAACTTTTACAACTCAGTTTAAGGCATTCGGCAAGATGTTAAGGTTCTATTTAGTGGAACTGCTGGTTCTGCTGGCCAGCTCAAGGCTTATCAACGCAATTGAGGTGGACACTGACCTGGGACGAGTGCGAGGAGCTAATCTGACCTCCAGATTGGGTGTAACCTTTCATGCTTTTCGGGGCATTCGATATGCCGAACCGCCTTTGGGAGATTTGCGATTCTTGAATCCCCTGCCAGTTAAATCTTGGTCACCGACTACCTTCGATGCTAGTCAAGATGGACCGATGTGTCCACAACCCTGGGACAATATGACCGATGTTTCCGAAGACTGTCTGCGGCTGAATGTGTATACCAAGGATTTAAAGGCCCGACGACCGGTTATAGTTTTCTTACATCCTGGTGGCTTCTATGTCTTCTCGGGGCAAAGTAAATATTTGGCTGGACCCGAGCATTTTATGGATCGTGATTGTGTGTTAGTCTCCCTAAATTACCGACTTGGTAGCTTGGGTTTCCTGGCCACCGGAAGTAAAGAAGCGCCTGGCAATGCAGGACTCAAAGATCAAGTCCTAGCATTACGTTGGATACAGCAGCATATCCATCGATTTGGCGGTGATCCAGGTAGTGTTACCCTTTTGGGTTATAGTGCCGGCAGTATTAGCGTGGCCTTACATATGTTATCTCCCATGTCACGGGGTCTCTTCCATCGCGGCATCTGCATGAGTGCTGCACCATATGGACCAGTTCAGTACAAAGGCAATGACCTTCGATTAGCAAAACGACAAGCTGGACTATTAAAATGCCCCCAGGAACCGGTCAAAGATATGGTGGAGTGTATGAGGAAAAAGCCCTACTTGGATTATGTGAGCACCTACAATGGGATGTTTGAGTTTGGATGGAATCCTGTCCTTAATTGGAGAATCGTTGTCGAAGAGGATTTTGGCCAGGAACGATACCTTGTCGAAAGTCCCTTCAAGACAGTAAGGCGTGGTGATTTCCATAAGGTTCCTATTATCACTGGGATTACGGAGTTTGAATTCCTTTCAGGAGCATTTTGTAAGTACAACTTAAAGTTTAGTAATGTTATAAATAGCAGTTTCCTATTCTTTTCAGTTGATCTGCGAAATGAAAGCCTTGTAAGTAAATACAACCAGGATTGGGAACAATATGCACCCATTACCCTCATCTTGGAACGCAACTCAACCCAATCCCGAGCTGGCAGTCGAGTTTTGAGAGAGAAATATATGCCAGAGAGTAGAGAGAAACTGGAGTATCCAAAGTCCCTGAAGGGTATGGGAGAACTCTACAGTGATGCCTTGATTGGGGTATCCTTCCATCGATTTCTTCGCCTGATGTCACCCCATACACCAATTTATACCTATCTGTTTCGATATAAAGGTAGATATAGTTTCTTGAAGAATCCCGATAACCAAGAAGCTATGGGTAAGTTGTTATATCTAGTTAAAAATTGTATAAAATTTTTTTTCTGCATATTCATAGGCCCCGTTCATCATGATGAGCTGTTATATTTGTTCCATGTGGGCCTTTTGAGTCCTCTACTTAAACGAGAAGACCCTGAAAACTTTATGATTGAGCTTATGACTCGCATGTGGATTGAGTTTGCTCAAAAGGGGTAAGAACTCTATTTTGAAAATCTTATAAGGTGACTAATTTCCTTTTTCTAGTGATCCCCACAATAAGAATGATGAATACCTTAAAGATCTTAACTGGCCTCTATATAATTCGAAAGATAAAGGTTACTTGGAAATTGGCACCAATCTTACAGCCAAAACAGGTGGCTTTTTCCTAGAACGATATCAGATCTGGGAGGAATTATTTCCTCTATCAAGTTTTTGCTAAGCAGTAATGCTAAATGAATACATTTTTGCAAAATTTATATAAAACATCTCAGATTAAAATAAAACTTTATTGATTTTAACCATCAGCAAGAAACTAAAGTATTGTTACTTTGTTCCCCTAAGACTAAAGCTGAAAATGACAACTCTTTTCAATTTCGAATTTTTCTAGTTAAATCGAAAAAAGATGCAGATGACATACCCATCTCTCCAGGTCACAGTTCACAAAAAAGAACAAACAAAAATGAGGAAAATGGTTGAGCGTATAACTATCGCCAGGTGAACGAGCATTGAGAATATTTTCAGCAATTTCCAAGGCAGTTCGGATTTTCTTGACTTTTTGCCAACAGAAATTGTTGTAAAAACACGAGAGGAAAATGCAAAACTAAAAACGAGAGAAGCAGTGAACCGACCGATTTGCTTGAACAAGTTACCGATTAGATTTAGTCAAGAAGTGAGCTGCTATTTTCGAAACACATCCGAGTCTGCAAATTGGAATTGCTGACTATGCGTAAATAATAGCTTTGCTTGAAGCAAACAAAAAAAAAGACATTTTTTTCGATTGGCAATTAAACGACAAATCCAAGCTAGGATATGTCAAATAACTATTTTGGATTTCCCGTTGACGATAATCAACAGCTCATTAAAAACGCGTCGGACCACAAAACAGGACGTCATTAAATAGCCCCTTCTACGCCACTTGACCACTCGGGACATTTAAAGGGCTAAGAGCTATGCAGCTACGGGGGTCGGTGGATTCAACCCTAAATCGCATGAAATTATCTACATTTGCATGCCAATACAAAACACACAGAGCTAATGGCAATTCCAGCCACACCACATTTATATAGCTCATGAATTTTTGATTACGCATTTGGCGATGTGGCCAAAAACGGCCAAAAGCAGCAACATCGAACCCAAATGAACCAAACCAAACCAAACCAATCCCAACCAAACCAATCCAACGGAAGTGACTCCGTGCAATTTAATATTACGCATACGCAGCGTATGCAACTGATTGGCAGCGGTTAATAAATGCGCTCAAACTGGCGCATATAGCCATCCAGGCAAATATTTGTATGCATATTCCATAATTCACTGGACGCCAATCGAGCAGCTTTGCGTGTGACCAGAAAAGCATCGTTATAATATATATATAAATATATATAACGGGAATCATAATATCCCATCATTTCGGTGCTCTATCTGTGGTGAAAACAAACTGGGAATCGAATTCAATTTGGTTATGGGTCGTCGTTTGAGTGCTGTTATCTCGAAGGTAATGGGTTTGAGCCCACTCTAGCTCTCAGGCATTGAAATTTCTTTTATAAATAAAAAAAATGATGTACAAATCTTCATTTTACTCAAACTTTTGAATTTATATTTATATTTTAAGTTTGTTACGTCTAAAATCTAGTGAACTTTTTGCTTTCGTTTCTTTTTAACAATCAAAAGCCGTAAGGACACCTTTACAACTTTAACCACACAAATAACAATAATAACAAGAATAGCTATAAAGACCAAAAGGAATGTCCCCAAAACATCCAAACTATGATAGGTGAAAAAATCTAACTCTCTACCTGCCACCCTCATGTGCGGAGCACCCTTGTGTCGTAGTACGTAGTGAGTCCACCAGATGACTGTTTCCAAAGGACTCATGGGTTGATCCCTATACCTAGCCGCAGTAGTCCTTGACTTGGTAAGAAAACTCTTTTCCGTAAGCAAACGTACAATTGCGGCCTTGAACTCCTCACCTGTCATATCATTATAGCTTAGAACTAAACCTAGGCCTTGATTTTTAATATGTTCCATATTCCCAAACTGATCATAGAAGAAGGGCAAACCCAGCATAGGTTTACCATGATGAATAGATTCAATAGTGCTCTGCATTCCTCCATGAGTTATGAAAAGTTTAACGTTTGGATGGGCCAGAATATCCTGCTGTGGAAACCAATTACTTATAAAAACATTCGAAGGTATCTCCGGCAAATCCTCATCCTCGAATTTCCACAAAATACGCTGAGGCAGGCTGGAAAATGTTTCGAGCAATACTTTCTTGCGATCCTCTGCCAGATTTTTGTTCCTAACATTAGTGCCAAGAGAAAAGTAAATTACTCCATGTTCACCAGCTCCCTGGATAAAGTCCTCTAAATCCTTAGGCAATGCGTTTGGCTGTTGATTGATATGCATACCACCCACTTCTATTACATTGGGTACATATGGCCGAGGTGGAGCCAATGTAAAGTGCTGATTAACCAAAACCAAAGCAATATTTTGGGATATCTCAGAGAGTGGTTGCTTTTCAGCTATTTTCGGGAAATACTTTCTATAGAGGGCCTCATGTTTTTCTTTATAACGCCAATGCCAATTTATCCAAGAAATAGAACGTTCCAAAAAGTGTGATAGACGACCATTGTAAGTCTCTAAGTCGTAGTAGTAGGATGAAGGAGACTGTAAGTATGACATTGGCGATGGATTGCCGACCAATTCATCTATCTTCCAATCAGTTCCACATGGAGCCATTCCAATGATTGGGGCATCAAAGTAGGCAGCAAGTCCATATAGAGCATCGTACTTCCACAGATCCACAATAATCAGATCAAACTGGGCATTTCCTGGCTTCAGAATCTCTCGACGTACTTTATCATTATTGAGCACAACCTTCGTAATATTATACACAAAATCATTGATAACATCAAAAAATTCCCAAGTGTTTTTGGGAGTTGTCATTATTTTTAATAATTCTATAAAATATAAATAAGAAACCTTATCAAAGAAAATATTATATTTAACATTACTTACCATCAAAACTTTCAAATACTTCCGGAACAGGAATGTCGTGTATATTATCCACTGGTTCTTTCGATGGAAATGGGTTTACAGATGTTATTTCATGACCCTGAGATGCTAAGTTTCTCAGATAAGGCAGAGCATGATAATAATGCGATTGACTGGGTACGGGAAACAGAGCAAGAATGCGAGCTCCTTCCAAGTAACCGGGTAAAAGGATCAGCCATACGAGCACCGATCTCAGTACAAGCATTTTTCAGACTAGCAGTGCGTTAGCCTCTAGCTCAACCGAAAGACTGACTGGAAGAACTCTCCAAGTTTGATTTTTTCTCACTGATAAGATTAATCAACTACAGACAATAAATTATAAAAATCTTTTAGTGATAAGCTAAACGAAAAAAAGGGGAAGTACTTTATCGAAATCAGCTGAACACAGCACCGTTAATCACCGTTTATTTTACTGACTTTTCAATTTTACAAACTTATAATCTCCATCCCTTCTCTCTCTTTTTATTGTAATTTTAGCTTAGTTTTTCCACAACCAGCTAGTTTTGCTATTTTCCACACGACAAACGTACTAACCGCAATGATCAGGATAGCTCCACCCAAGAGAGCTCCAACGACATCCAGGCTATGGTAAGCGAAGAAACCCAAGTCCTGACCTGCCACTCGCATGTGATAAGCTCCCTTGTGCCGCAAAACATATTCCGTCCACCAGATTGCCGTGTCCAACGGAGACATGGGTTGATCCCGATATCGTTCCGACATCTGCCTGGCAGTGTTAGCAAATTGCGGCTCCGTGATTAATCGCTCGATGGTCCCCTTAAACTCCTCATGGGTCATCGTCTTGTGATCAAGTCCCAATCCAAAGCCTGCCTGCTGAGCTCGCTTGACATTCAAGAACTGATCGTAGAAGAAGGGCAGACCCAAGACGGGTTTGCCATGATGAATGCTCTCGATCGTGCTCAGCAGTCCGCCATGGGTGATAAATAGCTTGACCTTCGGATGGGCCAGGATATCCGGTTGAGGAAACCATTTGCTAATGAAAACATTTGATGGCTTGCCAGGAAGCTTATCATCCTCAAATTTCCAAAGCACACGATGCGGCAAACTTGCAAAGGTTTTCAGAATGAGTTCTCTTCTTTCCACAGGTAGATCCTTGCTCTTAACATTAGATCCCAGGGAAAAATAGATCACACCCTGCTCTCCGGCTCCTTGAATAAAGTTATTCAAGTCCATGGGCAACGGAGCTGGCTTATGGGATATATGTAGACCTCCGACTTGGATCATATTTGGAACGTATGGACGTGGAAAACTTAAAGAAAAGTGATGATTGAGTAAAACCAATGAGAAGTTTCTGTTCAATTGGGTAAGTGGGACTCTTCTTGATGCCTCAGGAAAGTATTTCTCATAAAGTTTTTCCTGCTCTGGCATATGCACAAACCGGTAGTTTAGCCAGGCAATCGTAGTTTCCACAAAATTGGTCACACGCTCCCCGAAAGTCATGCGATCTGTAAGGCCAGCCGTTACTAGAGGAATATACGACAGAGGCGATACATTGCCAACAAGCTCATCAATATTCCAGTCGGTTCCAAACGTCGAAATGCCTATTATTGGGGCATTAAAGTGGGCCGCAAATCCATAATAGGCATCCGAACGTAGAGCTTCCACAATGATCAAATCGTAATGATCCTTTCCAGGAGGCAAAAGGGTTTCAGTCACCTCTTTGTTGGTGAGCACGGATCGTGTGACATTAACAAAGAATTTGTTTATAAAATTGTTCTCTTCCCAGACAGTCATGGGATCGTTCAGCTCATTAATTATATCTTAAAAAAATAAAATTTCTTATTGAATCTTTAAATATTTTCTTTCTATTTTACCATTATAGTTATCAAAAACTTCCGGAATGGGAATATCTCTAAAGTTATGCACTGGTTTCTTCTGGGGGAAAGCATTAATCGAGGTCACTTGATGACCCCGAGAGGCCAAAGTCTTTAGATAGGGCACCACATTAATATACTGCGATGGTCCTGGAAACGGAAAAATGGCCAATATCCTGGCAGCCTGTAGACAAGCAGGAAGAATAACCAGCAAAAAACTTAGCTGCAGAGCTATCATTTTTAAGATCGTCTCGTTTCCACAAGCTGAAGCTATATACTGAATAGGTTAACGAACATTGCAACATAGTAAGAGGCTATTAGATAACAAACTGAGACACCGACATGCGATAGGAATTCTCGACAGATGCGATTACGGAAATTTCGTAGGCGAGCCACATCTTACCGTGGCACCCCATCACTTCAGTATCCCCCTTATAACCCCTTCTATCCCAGAAAAACAGCAACATCACTGCATTAGCAATTTTCTACAGTCAGAAAAAAAGTATGTTTGGTTTATAATAAAACTCAGAATAAAGCTAAGAATGTGGCATACAATTAATGAATATTTTTCTTCTTTGTGTAGTTAAAAGTATCATAACAGATCTTAGCTTGGTTAATACCTTCATAAAATATGTTTAATCTGCCACAATTTATTTTTCTGAGTGTGTTGTCTTTAATAGTGATGGATTAAATCAACAGCTAAACAAAGTCTGAGGTTTATGCGTGCCAAATACTGATTATAATGTTAGCATTTAACGTTTTGACAGAAGACTTATTCACTTCCTTTGATAATAAACTTCTTTTAAGTAAATATTTAATAGTTTCCCTTAATTTTCTGTTCTTTATTTGGGAATAAATATATTTTTAGTCTCTTCAAACTTAAAGTGCTAATAACAAAACAAATAATTTCAAATGTAACCTACACTAGCGTTAAACAAGAAACGAATGCAAGCATAAGCTCGATTAGTTAATGGCCTTTAATTGGTTACTGGGTCTTCAATTTATTCGACCCCTTACGACGCTTTGAGATGACATAACAGAGACCCCTCAGTAGGCACTTTAAAGCAATCACGAAGATCAGTATAGACACAAGCACGCCAGCGATGAGTAGACCCCAGGTGTCCAGTCCATGGAACTGGACAAAATTTAGATCCCGGGAGGCGCATCTCAAATGTTTGGCGCCCTTGTGTCTTAGTACATATTCTGTCCACCAGATGGCACGTTCCAAAGCGGTATCCTTTTGATCACGAAATAGTTTGGATTTAATTTGAGCTGCTGCCAAATAGCTGGGATTACTTAACAGTTCTTGGATCAGTGAAGTAAGTTCTGTGGCATTGACACTCCAAATATCCGAACTGAGACCATAACCCGCTTGCTTGGCCCTCTGAACATTCAAGTGCTGATCGTAGAAAACTGGTAGACCCAAGACGGGTTTTCCAAAATAAATACTCTCAATGGTGCTCAAGAGGCCTCCGTGGGTGATAAACAGCTTGACATTCGGATGAGCCAGAATGTCCGGTTGAGGAAACCATTTACTAATAAAAACATTCGTTGGCTTTTCAGGCAACTGATCATCTTCGAATTTCCACAAAACACGCTGAGATAAACTAGCAAAGGTTTCCATTAGAACTTTACGAGTGGCTGGTGGTAAATCTGCACTTTTGATATTAGATCCCATGGAGAAATAGATTACTCCCTGGTCAGATTGCTCCACAAATTCAGACAAATCTTTTGCCAATGGCTGAACCTTTCGCTTCTGTTGCAAATGCAGACCGCCGACCTCGATCATATTAGGCAAATAAGGGCGTGGATAACTTAGTGAAAAATGCTGTCCTAGCAGCATCAGTGAAAAGCTATCCAAAACTTCCTCCAACGATTTCTTGGCTGTTGGAAAGTACTTGGCATACAGAATCCGCTGAGTGGGCAGGTGGACAATTCTCTTATGTAGCCACATAATCGCAGCTTCCCATACATTTCGTAGGCGATCCTCGATTCCCATTCGCTCTGTTCTGGATGATAGTAGCATTGGATTGTAAGATAATGGCGAAAGATTACCCATCAATTCGTCGATATGAGTATCTGTACCGTACGAGGATATGCCTATGGTCTGTGCTCCAAAATGCTGGGCCAAGCCAAAGAGCGCTTCATTCTGTACTGTTTCCATCACAACCAAGTCGAAGCTTTTTCCGCTGTTTAGTAAATCCTGAACAGCTGGATCATCCAGCATACTAGTAGTTAAGAGATTGAGAAACTCGGTCGTCATTGTTAAGACTTTCCATTGACTTGCCTCCTGATTGTAATCAAAATTGGCAAAGGCTGTAATATATAAAATTTTCTTTACTTTTTAATATAATTTTAAATAAGAGAAAAACTTCTCTTACCTGCCATAATTTCGTGAATTTTTTTGGCACCAATTACCCGAAAATTGTGCTCTTCTTTTTCGCTGCCAAATGTATTGATCACGGTGACATCATGACCCCGAAGAGCCAACTCCTTGAGATATTGCTCGGCAAAGATGTATTGCGATCGCCCAGGAAAGGGAAATACAGCCAAAATGCGTGAACTTTGAACCTCTATATCGGCATTAGCAGCTAAAAGTAATGCCAGGCTAAAGAGCAGTACGCCCAGACCTGTTCCAGAACATATAATTCCCATTTCCAAAGCAACCACTCCGATTCGCTAACGAACAACCACTAATCTAACATAAAAAACCTTTTTTTCTATATATAATTATCGGTGAGTGCCGATTAATAGAATCTACCAAAATTTGCTCATTCTACACAAAGCAAGTTCACTGAAGCGAGACAGAATGTTTGTTTTTTTTATACACATCGAAATTCGCTCTCTATGTTGGTTTTTTTTTTCAATTTGTGGGCATATATTTTTTGGCGTCACCGGCATCAGTCAACTTTGTTGATTGTTTACACACAATTTGTAGTTGTTATGCAAGCGTTAAGAGAAATCAACAATACTCTTTTTCTCCATGTGGCTCTCTTAAGTTCCCACTTTATCAGCATTTGACTCTCCAGTTTGGACAACTCTCCAAATATTATTGTTTACCCGAACTTTTAATTGAACGCTGTTATTTTTGGTGCTCAGAGAGCTGTGAAAATATAAATACTCTACTCTCAAATTAATCTTTAAACTTTATTAAATGTTTTTTATATAAAAACATGCAAGAATTTTAAAATCTTAACATATACTTAACTTAATTTACAAATAATAAATTCATTTTACATATAAAAATGCTTAAATTAATTAATTTAAATACTATTTAAAAGTTTAACAAACATTATTTGTAATTTTCTATTAACAAAGCAACAACCGCAAACATTTCTGCCTGTCTATAACTGATCCAAAAATAATTCTAAAAACACTTAGAAACAATCATAAATAAAGCGGCAATTAAGATAAGATAAACTTGCACACAGTGCTTATTATTCATTGTCCCTCCTGTAATCAATCCAAAGAAAAACAATAAAATAATTACCATCGAATACGAAATATACATTTTCAGTGCGCAGCTACTGCCACAAGGTTATAGATATCTCTTAAACACCTATTCTTTATTTTAAGTTTTAAAAAAGTATATCTTTTTAATGAACTAAAATCTATTTTATGGGAATTCTTAGGTTTTTAAACTTACTCTTAAAAACTAATATAACATTAGCTTTAACTTAACTTTTTGCTTTGTTATTATTTAGAAAACCAAAATCTGGCATAAATGGTTTTGTCAATCTGGTCAAGTAATACAGGCAACACCTTCCTTTAGAAAGTAATAAGAAAACGATACCCATTACCAGGGATAACCGAATTCCAACCATCAGGAACTTGTCCAGGGAATAATATTCGAAGATCTTAACCTGTGATTGAGATACGGTCATATGGGGTGCTCCCTTGTAGCGTGCAATGTACTCCGTCCAATAGATGGCCGTTTCTAAGGGATGCATCGGCTGATCCCGAAATCTTTGCGATATAGCCAAGGCATTCTCTTGGTATTTTGGCTGACTTATCATGCGATTTATAGTATCCTTAAGTACATCTCCAGTTACGCTTGAAATGTCTAAATTGTGGGCTGCACCGCCTTCTTCCATGATTTCCAAATTTCTGAATTGATCGTAGAACAAAGGCAGACCCAAAACCGGCTTACCATAGTAGGCACTCTCAATGATACTTAGCATACCGCCATGGTTAATACAAAGCTTTACATTGGGATGGGCCAAAATGGCACGCTGTGGCAAGAGTTCGGAAATATAGATATTAGTACCAAGACTTTTTGGAGGTTCACCCTCATATTTCCAAATCACACGCTGTGGCATCGAATTGAAAGTTTCAAAAAGCATTTCCTGAGTTTCCTTTGGGAGATCCTTACTCTCCTGTTCCACACCCAAAGAAAAGTAAATAACACCATGTGCTGCCTCATCAATGAATACTTGAAGATCCTCTGGCAGTTTGGGATCCTCTTTGGGGATATGGAAGCCACCCACCTCGACCATTCGTGGAACATTCGCCCTGGCCTGAAAAAGGCTAAAGTGTTGATTTAGCAGGATTAGTGCAAATTCTTGACGAATCTCATAAAATCCCTTCTCCACATGACCAAAGAAATGATCGTAAACGAGACGCAGTTTCGGTAAGTAAACCAATTTCATCAGGAGCCACTCCTCTGTGGTATAGAACCAATTAAATATCCGATCCCAAATATTTCGAGCGTACTTAGAGCCATAAGGCATAAAAGGTTCCTCCAATGTGGATGTTCCATGACCCACCAGAGTGTTAAGATTCCAATCCGCCACACATGTAGATATCCCCACCAACGGGGCATTGAAATGTGCTGCCATCCCGTAAAGAACATCAGTGAAACTTGGTTCCATAACAACCAAGTCAAATGTGGCATTCGATTGCATTAGCTTTCGGACTTCCCAGTTATTTAAAACATTTAGGAAAACTTTTATCATGATCCTTGACATGGAATTCATTTCTCCCCACTTATTACTTTCTGAAGAGATTCCCATGAATTCTTCAAAATCTAATGGTAAAATAAGAAAAGAAAACAGAAAAAGTTGTTAAATCTTTTCAATTACTGTAATAAGAAAGCAGACTTTAAGTCATTCTAAACACTTAATAAACAATTTCATTGGGAAAGCAATTTTTAAACCTTTAAAGTTAAGATTGCCTTTCGATTTTATCACTTTATATTTGTTATCTGGCGTCTGAATTCGGAATGAGTACAAATTACAAATAGCTTATCTAAGAAATACTAGACTGATATTGTAAAACACTCTGTTTCCACCTCACTAATACGTACCTGAATAAACTCTATCATTATCCCTTACACGGATGAAGGTCACATTCTCAATGGGCTTGCAGATTTTGTAAGCATGTATCACGGTCATCTGGTGACCCCGATTATTTAAAGCCTCTATATAGGGTGTCATCAGCAGGCACTGTGAAAGTGACTCAAAGGGGGCGATGACAAGAATTTGGGCACCTTTGATCAAGCATATCCTGTTCGAAATCAGCAAGAACATTGGGACAAGCCATCGTCCCGGCGGAAACATGTCGACCGAACACTCACTTTTCAACTAACTGAAACGAAGAGTTTTCACATCGAACTCGTGTAAATTTTCGCTCATTTTGTTTACTGATTAGATTGCCCCGTCGAGCAATATTTTTATTTTGACCGAGGCAAGGTAAATTAGTATCATTTCGGTCAGCGGCATGCTCGGTCGATTTACGTGAGATGTCGAGGAGCCCGGGCATTGCTGGTCTACTACTCCCGGGTCTGCTCTTTGGCCTGCTTTTGTGCCCCAAATTGGCCGAAACGGAAAATATTTTGGCCATCTTCTCGTATACGTTTGGATCATCATATTTGCTAATCACTCCATTTCTAAGGGGACTCGTTCAGCGAGGCCACCACCTGACTGTGATATCGGCCGTTTCCGAAATGCCCCATATCGAGGGTGTCCATCACATTCGAGTACCCAAATTGGATGTGCTGAAAGGAGGGTAATCGATCTCAAAATATATAATATATAGAAATACTTTTAAAATATTCCATCAATAACCTTAATTAGAACTAATGGACTACGACTACGACTCCGATGTTACCAAATGGATGAAGGCTAAATTCGTATCGGAATACTTTTATAATTGTTCCAAAATTGTCTTAGAAGATCCCGGAGTCCAGGACCTGCTACACAACAATAGTGCCCAGTTTTCGATGGTCATTTTGGAGGCGTCACACACCGATGCTCTTTACGGATTTGCACAGCACTTTAATGCACCACTGGTAGGGGTTGCCGCCTACGGTTCGGCGTGGAACATTGATTTCCTAGTTGGAAACTCAGCACCTAGTGTCTACGAACCCATGTCCACTTTGGGTTATTCACCGGGACTCAGTTTGATGGAAAAGTGGCACAACCTGATCTTTATCACAGAGGAGCGTCTGGTGGAGCGATTTATCTATCTGCCTAAACAAATCGATCTCTACAAGCGATACTTTCCCGGAGTATCGGCTAGTATTCATGACATTCGAAGGAGATTCTCACTGATCCTGATCAATCAGCATTTTAGCATGGGTCGGGTGCGCAGTAATGTACCCAATATAGTGGAAGTGGCGGGTTTGCACTTGCATGAAACCCCTCATCCTTTAGATGCAGAACTTAAGAAGATATTGGATGAAGCGGAACATGGAGCCATCTACTTTTCAATGGGCCTGCAAGTCGTGGACAAGTGGATGCCTCCGGGAATGTTAGATAAGATGCTGGCTGCCTTTGCGCAGCTTAAACAAAAAGTGATTTGGAAGAGTAACTCACCAGAGATGGCCAACAATTCAAAGAATGTCTACGCAAGATCATGGCTTCCCCAACGAGAGATCCTTAATCATCCGAACACTAAACTCTTTATAACCCATGCTGGCCTCTTAAGTCTCATCGAATCGATGAACTATGCAGTTCCCATGCTTTGTTTTCCTTTATATTATGACCAATTTCAGAACTCCAAGCGAATGGAGCAGATGGGCATGGCCAGGAGTTTAGATGTAACGACTCTCTCTACAGAAGGAATTTTCAAGGCCATTGAAGATCTCTTATATAATGCTAGTTATAGGCAAAAGGCTAGAGATATTTCCCAAAGATTTCATGATCAGCCGATGTCAGCCTTGGACACCGCTGTTTGGTGGACAGAATATATCCTGCGGCACAAAGGTGCGGATCATATGCGAATCGCTGAGCAGGAAATGTCTTTGATGCAATACTATAACGTGGATGTTGCCTCGGTTCTTTTTGGCCGAATCGGACTGAGTGTTATTATTGTGTGCTTTGTGGGTTGGAAACTGGTCTCTTTGTTGACCAGGAACCTGGAGTATCGATTTAATGTGCCAATGGTAAGGTAAATATCATGAATCATGAACAAAACGACAAAAACTTTGCCAACTTTTGTTTTAAAAAGAGCATAGGTTAAATATTTTTTATAATAAACAAAATTTTAATCAATAAACCACAAGTACTTAAGGGAATACTTTAACTAAACTCATTTTAGGTTTAATTTTATATTTATAGAATCAAACTGGGCGAAAATGTTTTAAAAACCTGTTCTAGATTAAAAGGCAAATCGATTAGGAATTAAATTACGAACTTAACGAGGTATGAAATTCCGCAGTTGGAACATGTTTGGCTTTGTTATGGTCAAAATACTAGAAACAAGATAGAAAAGATAAAATAACCAAAAATGTACACTATTCGACTTCATATTCTGGTTATTAGTTTATAACCTTACAACGGCCTAATCTGTGTTTTATTTACGTTTATTGATATGTGACGATTAAAATAGCGTAAACGGAAAAAATTGTATTACTTGTAAATGTTTCTATCGCATTGATAGTAAATTATCTTATCGGTAAGCCAGGCGACGCCAAAAAAAAATGTGTTGACTTGAAATATCAGTTAAAAGTTTTAAAAGTGGATAACAATTTTTGAATTGATAAATAGTAAAGAGAGGGATCGTTCTTAAATACCTTGTATATTATAATTAGAAAACTTTCCCTCCTTGAGTTGTTATCTATCCAACCCTTTTTTGCTAGTTTCTTTTTCTCGACCATAAACATAACCGCGCTCATTACGCATTTCACATCAATCAGCACGTGCCCAGCATGTTTTCAACTCTTTTTCAACCTCTTTTTCCAAAAAACAAAAAAGACAAGAAAATAAAAAGGGAATTGAAAAAAAGGACATTAAAATGCAGAGGACAGACTGGTGAAAAAAGTGCGCACAATTGCTCCCTCAATTGCTGGGTGAAATACCCGAGGAACGTGAACCAGAAGAAGTCGATGTCCGCAGAGCTTGAAGGTGAACCCGAAAGTGTATAACTTCCTCTTCATAACCATCCAGGCGGAATGTCTGTGACGGTCCATCGATAGCCTAGGAAACGAACGCACCGCGCATAAAAACATACCCAACTACAGTGAGCAGTCCATAAAATGGATAATGAATTCTAATACTATGTTTGTTTAGCCTATTGATTAGAAAGCTTATTTGCAGTTCGTTCATATCAGTGTTTGACTAGTTCTCTATGATAAACGAGCTTTTAAAAGTTGAATGTCAAAATAATTAAACTTTTCATAGGCTATTTAAATATTCATGCGAAAAAAGAGTAGCCAAATTGAATTAAAAATATTATTGCATTAAAAATTAATTCAATAATTTAAAAAAAAAAAAACATTCAGTAGCTTAATTAGTCAATGCACACCGTATTTCCAGCTCATCAAATTTACTTCAAAGCTGGTAATAGTAATTGAAAACAAAAATCTATAAAAAGCGGTATTTTGCCCACAAGAATGTCAAATTATTTATACCCAAAAATAAACCTAAAAGGCAAAAATAAAATGTGTGCCAAACGTTGGCATGTTAATAAGTTTGGGCGAAAAAAAAGGACCCAAACCAAATTGCACTCAACGTGTTGTCAATTTGATGTTTATTGCAGATTTTTATTTGATTTTATGTTTTTGGCATTTGAATTTATATCCTGGCCATAAACTGGCGGCGAGTCTAATCCAAAAATTCTTGTAAAATTGCCAAAGCTACGCGCTCGCGAGTGAGGAGTTGACCCAAAGTCAGGCCATTTTTATTGGCCATTTGGCAGAGGCGCCATGGCAAACTTTGTCCCTCTTTTCTTATTGTTGGCTTTAGCGTTGCCTCTGCTGCTCTTGGCCAATACTCAAGTGGGCGGCTTTCATTGGCGCTTAACTAACTGAAATTAAGTAAACTTTTCTTTTGACTTTCATAAGCCTTTTAATAAGCCATAATCCCCGCTGGCATTATCTGGGCCCCCGTCACAAGCGCACAAAGGACACAAACACACACACACACACACAGTCACCAATACATGCCCAAACACACACACACACAGGCATAATAAAATCTAATTAACATCCCGGACTAAGCTTGGGAAGAGCTCGCGCAATAAAAATCATCAATAGTAGGAAAGAAGTTTATTAAAAGTGATTTTCATCACTGCGGCCAAGTCTTTGTGGTTTTAATGCTGGTGCAAAGGGGAAACAGGAACTAATGTCTGTGGCAAGAACTAACATTTCTAGAGCCAATAGGCTTTATAACATATGCCTGGTTATGACCAGCAGATTTTCTGCTTTTCTTGGTTATGTTTGGGGTCTTATGAAGATACTCTTTAGTAAGAAGACTGTAAGCACCTTTAGTAAAAGTTATTGTAAGTTTTAATATTATTTCATATTTTAATTTATTTATCCAAAAGCTTTATATCATTCTCGAAACAAATATATTTTCGTGTAATAGATTTTGTTATTCAAACTCAAAAGATTTCCTTACATTTTATAGAATATTTGCCCTCCATCTTTCGACACCTTGCCACCAAATTAAATTACAGAGCATATCCGATTCGTCAAATCGATAAAGCCGGTAATTTTCATTTTCCTATGAGTCTTATTCTTCTTCTCCTTTTTTTTTTTTTGGTTTAGAAAAGTTATGCGGCAGGCTTTTAATTAGCGCCTGCCAACCAGTCAGCTAGCCGTCGTTGCGAATGTCCCAGAGCGCATTACGCATACGCAGCGTTGACGCCGAGGTTGCCGCTGAGCCTGGCACATTGGCTTTGGGATTGCCGCTGGCTGGTTGGGCACGATTTTAATTAATTAGACTTTTATGAGCCGTACATGCAGCTCCGGCATTGTTGGGTTAAGGCCCAGTTATTGTTTTATTTTCTTTTTTTTTTTTTTTGGTTTTTCCTTTTTGTTCTTTTGCTAAAGTCCCCTGTGTTGTTGTTGCCTCTGGACGCTTGTTGGCCTGGACTAATAAGCGTTTCACAGAGCTTAACACCGCCGCCAACGAAATGTGTATCAAAATTTAGCATTTATTTTTGGCGGACGGGAAGGGTGTGAGAGAGTCGTCGGGGGCGGCGGGCTTACACACATGTCCGTTGGCCATGTCGTGTGCGGTAATGAAAATTGCGGTGGCATTATGCTCAACATTTGGCATAATTGCAGTCCAGGATATGCGTTTATGCTCAGAGATTACTTTTTGTGGCTGCTGGCCATTGACCAAGCCCCACCATCACCACATACAGCATCTACACCAGTCACCACCATCCACCATTGCCACCATAACCACCACCAACAACATCAGGGAAATGGCCAAGCGTAATAAAAGCCAGACGATGTCGCCTTTTGTATAAAGAAATAAAAATAATACCCAGTTCTACCCTCCCGAAAAAAAAAAAAATCCCAGCACTCCTTTGTTGGTTTTGTGTTCCAGCTCTTGTTATTGGTATCTCGCTTTGCTACTCTCCGGCTTCCTTTTCCCCCTTTTTCTCCTTTTTTTTCGTGGGTTTTCCAGGCAAATTAATTTCCACTTGCTTCACTTTTTTTTTCGGTGGTGCGACATATTATTTGTCGTTGTCAGGGTTTAAAAAAGAGATTCTTAAAGTTCAATGGGATAATGAAAACTTATTTAAGCATTTTTAAAAATATTTCTAAGACTTAAACTTAATTTTAAAATGACTTTTTGAGATCAAATTTCTTTCACAATAACCAGAAAAAAACAGACATATATCCTCATTTTCCTCATCTTTAAATTACTATTACTTATCCGCCCTAAATTTTCCACTTATTGTCAGTGAAAGACATAAATTACTGCTGATATGTGGTAGAAAAAAGCAAAGTCAAAAAAGTGTAAAAGACTTTTATTGTGGGAATCAAACAAGACCAGCAGAAAGTAACCAATAAACATAAAAAAAAAGCCAGTTGCAAAACAATAATTAAAATGCACACGCAACAATTTTCTGGCTAGGCAAATGTATACATAAAAAAGTGAATAAAAAATAAAGAATAAACCAAATTATGTTTATTATTATGCACGATGAATGGGGATGGAAGTGGAAGTGGAAGTGGAAGCAAACAAAGAGAGCCAAAAGAAAAGTGTGGAGGGGTTTTTACCGAAAGCGGAAAAACTTGGGAGGGCTGGGCGTCAAGTAATCCGCTTGTTAAAAATAAACGAAAACGAAAAGAGATGGAGAATGGAGAAAGCTGAGAGGAAGCGCACACAAAACATAATCATCATAAACCGGAAATATCCCGACGGCAAAACATCCGCACATAAATTTTTTAAATAGTCTACAATATTTCGTTTTGCCGTTCGGCATTTGCCATTTGGCATCTCTGTTTCGGTTCCTTTTATTGTTGTGCTGCCTCAACTTCCACTTGTTGTTGTTGTTGTTGGTTCTGGCCATATCGCGTGTAAATACGTTTAAGTGTCGGTTCTCTCCCTGAAGATAGTCCAATGAATCCGCATCCCGCATCCCGAATCCAAACGAGTGGGAGAAGCAGCCCAGCGCCAAACTTGGCCAACTGCAATAAACACACAAATTAACCCGTAATACCCAAGGCCAAGCTAAGGACCAAAAGGACAACGTGCCGCAATTCCAATTCGGTTTGCTTGTGGTGGTTATTTTCCCTGTGCCCAGCAACAAACGCACATAAATAAAATATTACAATTTTAATTTGTCTCTAATCCCGTTGGACATTGAATGGCTTGTGGCTGCCAGCCGAGTGGCTTGGAAATTTTGCCCCGGGACCCGGGGATTTCATAAATTGCTTGAATACACCCAGCCAGACCACGTTTATCTATACGGGATTTGTTGCCACGAAACAATGAATACATAAATCAAATGGCTCGCTCCCGCTGACAGAGCTTATACCATGAGGTACGGTAAGGTAAGGTAAGGTAAGGTAAGTTAAGTTATGTTAAGGCAGTTGCTCAGCTTCTTTCCTCTTCATCTCAGATTGTCAAGGATTTTCTTACAGTTTTCTGATATTAAATATGGCCAGCTTAAGGTTCAATACATAGAGACTCATCTCCAGATTAACCCTGAATAAAGAGCTTATATTATCTATCGATTTGTTAAGCTGGGAGTAACGAAACTTTTCATAAATCTCACTAAAATACAAACCATTTCCAGACAATGTTCCATAATAAGCCGTATTGCAAAGCAAACAGTTTGAGTATAATGTAATGTTCTATAAAAATCTCCCTTTGGTTCATCATCAACGTCAT